TGGCTGTTGATCATTCCTAAACAGCCATTTTCAAGTCTTGCCACAGATTTTCAAGACGATTTCAGTCAAAACTTGGTAAGGAACTGTATAATTGGCCTTTAGGTTATTGTCCTGCTGAAAAGTGGATTTGTCTCCCAGTGTCTGTTGGAAAGCAGACTGAACCAGATTTTCCTCTTTGACTTTGCCTGTGCTTAGCTCTTTTCCGTTTATTTTTATCCAAAAAACTCCCTAGTCCTTGCCGATGACAAGCATACCCAGAACATGTTGCAGCCACCACCATGCTTGAAAATATGAAGAGTGGTACTCAGTGATGTTGGTATTCAGGACAAACGCTACAATAACAGTTACAGTAGCTAGCCAGCTAGCTAGCCAACTTTAGCTAAATAAAACTATTTGGCTAGCTAGCTGGCAGGGGGACACTATTTGGCATGACAGGCCCTAAGTGAGATTTGGATGGGTGCCCCCTACCTCACGGAAAAAACACTTTAGTGTTCCCCCTCCTGACAGCAGAGAGAAAGCTAATTACCTGCATTTCTACACATTTTGCCAAAAAATTCATTTCTTAGCCAAATTTTTTACAGTACTACTTGACATTTTAGTCAGTTAGCAGACACTCTTATCCAGAGCAACTTACATTTTTGAGTGCATAAATGTTCATACTGGTCCCCCGTGGAAATGAAACCCACAACCCTGACATTACAAGTGCCATGCTCTACCAACTGAGCTACACAGGACACCAATAAGGTGCCTTATTGCAAACTTTAGTGCCTTATTGCAAACAGATGCGTGTTTTGGAATATTTTTATTCTCTACAAGCTTCCTTCTTTTCACTCTGTCATTTAGGTTAGTATTGTGGAGTAACTACAATGTTGTCGATCCATCCTCAGCCATTTAAATCTGTAACTATTTTAAAATACCCATTGGCTTCGTGGTGAAATCTATGAGTGGTTTTCTTCCTCTCCGGCAACTGAGTTAGGAAGGACGCCTGTATCTTTGTAGTGACTGGGTGTATTGATACACCATCCAAAGTGTAATTAATAACTTCCCCATGCTCAAATGGATATTCAATGTCTGCTTTTGTTTATTTTTTTTACCCATCTACCAATAGGTTCCCTTCTTTGCAAGGCATTGGAAAACCTCCCTGGTCTTTGTCGTTCAATCTGTTTTTGAAATTCACTGCTCGACTGAGGGATCTTACAGGTAATTGTATGCGTGGGATACAGAGATGGGGTAGTCATTCAAAAATCATGTTAAACACCATTATTGCAAACAGAGTAAGTCAATGCAACTTATTATCTGACCATAACAAAAGTGGTGGAATGAAGGATTGACGAATTGAAGACAAACTTGCAAGTTGTTAAATTACTGGTAAAAATGATCGAGCGAGCGAGCGATGCGAGCTAGCGAGCTAGCGAGCGATCGAGCTAGCGATCGAGCGATCGAGCTAGCACATCGAGCTAGCGAGCGAGCGATCTAGCGATCGACTATCGAGCGAGCTAGCGAGGATAGATGGAGGTAGCGATCTATCTATCGATCGAGATCTAGAGTATCTATCGAGCTATCTATCGAGAGATCTATCTATCGATCTATCTTCTATCTATCCTATCTATCTATCTATCTATCTATCTATCTATCTATCTATCTATCTATCTATCTATCTATCTATCTATCTATCTATCTATCTATCTATCTATCTATATATCTATTGTATCTATCTATCTATCTATCTATCTATTCATTCAGATCCTAACACAGGTAGTCAAGTCCACCACATACTGTATACCTTAGCTTTTGACCATGGACTGAGAATACAAACTTCTGGGTTTTACTGTGGTGGTGACATGTGTGTTATGAAGAATCATTGTGGAGAGAACCTTTTGTGATCCCGCCGCAGTCCACAAATGAGTCCTTGGGATGAGGTGCGGGAAAAATATATTTCACAAAGGATGCCGAAGAGACGTTGAAGCGAGGATGACACAAGTCAAGGGCTACTTTCCAAATGGCACCCTATTCCCTATGTAGTGCACTACTTTTGACCAGGCCCCATAGGGCTCTGGTCAAAAGTAGTGCACTATGTAGGGAATAGAGTACCATTTGGGATGCAAGCAAGGATAAGCCTGGGAATAGAGAATTGCACTAGAGGTATCAGCTGCGAAACAGCGTCTGAAAGGGGAGGCACAGTGGCGCTAAGCTGACAGGAGAGGATGACAGATCATCTCAGAGCCTGAGCTCTCCTGCGAATTATGGAGTCAGTCTGACTCTGCTACCGTATGTGTGGACGGGGTGTGTGTGTGTGTGGGTGGGGGTGGGGGGGTTGTTAGTGTGTGTGTGTGTGTGTGTGTGTGTATGCGTCTGTGCGTGTATGTGTGGACACTAGAGTAGAGGTATAGGGCTACCAGGACAGCTATAGTTTATTATTGAAGGCCAGGGCATAAAACAAAGGTGAGTAAAGCTCTCTGGACAATATAGGAATTCTGTGTGTCTTGGTTCTAAATGATATCTATATTTCAAGACTGAGGTAAGACTTACAGCTATGAAGGCCATAGAATAGGAACCGGAGACACACTGATGAATAATAAACTTGAAAAAGTAATACCAAAAGTCAAACACGCTGTCATACACTACTAAAAAAGACATTTGTCCTGTATTTCATTATTGGCGTATAATAGTGTGAAACTGTATGAAACTTTTCTATTAATTTCTCAGCTAACAAGGCCCAACAAGACTGTCATTCGCTCCACTTTCGTGCCAATGAAATGAGAAGTCAGTGGGATTTTGGAGTGGAGCTTCATTCACTGCAAGACACTAAGGATTTGTGTGGAGAAAGAACTAGTTGGTGCCTAAGGGCTCCAAGACTGTGGAGGTGGAGGGTTACTTTTTTCACCATGTGAGTGGTGCACAACAACCTGATGAAATATGAATCAATGCTCACGCACCTTCAATGTGTTGGGCTCTTTGAAAATAGATCCTGAACCGGGATTATTTATGAACCTGTCAGTGTCAACCTGGTAAGATTGTATGAGTAGGCTACTCAAATATGTCAAACCATCCAATGACACCTGACTACTACTATTCAACTGGTTGCCATGGGAGACAGCTCTTGTTTGTGGGTTTACCACGACCATTGTGCCCAGTGTTTCTGAGTACGCCAAACTCTCTCTCAGCCTACTTGCATAATGAGTCTACACGATGAAAACAATTACAGTGAAACTAATTAAAAACAACTCGGGGTAGTGATATTTCATTTTCAGCAGTAGTCTTTTTTACTCCAAAGTATTCCCACCCTCTGTCTGTTATTGATGATTCACCACATTCGGGCATTTTTCCCACCATTCCCCTCCTCCATTATTCATCCCCCTCTTTTTAATCTCCTGTGAGCTGACTCAGAACTCCTTTTCCATTTGGAGACTGTTCCTCTTCTATGCACATGTCCATAGCATTGATTAAGTGGGCCTCGTAGGGCTGCGGATTACATTGGGGTCTATTTGAAATGACATCTCAGAGTGTTTTTCCATTATGGAGCAGGAGGAAGGGGAATTTAGATAAACTTAGCCTTGCACTTTCTGCTGAGTTTCGCCTCGTTTGCCTCGTTCACTTGTGGCTCCGGCTCCGACTAGAGTTTTTCTTGGTCATGTCACATTGGTAATATTGGTTGAAAAGATATCAGACTGAAGTGATTGAAAACATTGTTTATACGACTTTTCGTAGTCCTGAAAAAAACGTATTTACCTGGTTGTAATTTGGTTATCTGACAAGGAAGGTACAGTTCAACCAGAAAATTGTGTCTTTATGACATCCCATGTCATATTATGCCCGCTGGGCAAGACGCAAGCAGAAAATGAAGAAATGACAGATGGCCTGAATAGATAACATCACTCTGAACATCAACTTCTCATGCCTTATTTAATCACCAGTGTTGTCTCTGGCTTCTGATTGTCTGTTGTTGACACATCCCACATCACAGAAGTGGGATTCTGTCTCCTTATCAATACAGTTTGAGGCAGAAAAACAGGGATCAATTTCTGCAGGTCAAATGCTCTCTATGTGTTTCATAATGGGGTCAGAGTGAGCAGGTTTTTCTTCTCCTGTATCTGTATGTATGAGTCAAGTGCCTTAAGAAAGGCTCACTTATGTATGAGTGCATTACTGGGACATGTACCCGATGAGTAAGTCAGCTCGTTAATGAATTACATGTCTCAGACCTGAACCATAGCTTTTTTAAAGGCACACTCCATAATTGGACAAAGGCATTGTTTACCAACAATGGAGTAAACCAACCTTATATTTTGGGCTATGATAGGTTGACAGTTTAACTAAGCTCATGGGGTTTTTCTAAGTGATTTTGAAATATAGCATTTTTTGGGGGGGTTGATTTGATTTATTTGACCATTTTAAACACATTACAACCACAGATGTGGATGCAGTACAATGCCATTAAAATCATCGAGGGTGACACAAAAAAGTTTTAAAACCTATTTCCATTGTAGTCCTCATGAAAAGATATAAAAACAAATATACACAAGATTATAACATGAAAACAAAATACATCTCAAATACATCTCATCAATAGGGAGGAAACAGACAAAGGAATAACATAGATTACCAAGTAGCGTTCATTGAAACAACTATACTTTATTTAAGCCTGTGCAGTTTTAAAGCATTTTGCCCATAAACCATTTCGTAAGATTTATCTTAAAACTCCCTAGCTTAGGGATGGATTTTACACCATTCAATTCCTCTGCACCAGTGTTAAGGAAAGAGATTTTAAAAAAATCCATTCTGATATTGGCAGAACTGGCTCTGGTGTGATGGTTATGAGAGTCTCTAATGAAATTAAAATAACCAGACAGGTAACTGGGGGCAATGTCATGTATAACTTTAAAAACCATCAACAGTTTGATCTGCACCACCCGGAGATCAACTGGAAGCCAGTTCAGTTCTCTGAAATGATTAGAACCAATGTGTGTCCTAGGGCTGAGCTTGAGTATAATTCTTATTCATTAGTTTGTTTTGGGCTGTTTGTCCTTCAGATTTTTTGTTATGCCACTAAACCATGAGATACAAGCATAGTCATAGAGGCACTGTATCTGAGATGTTGCCAGGGTCCTCTCTGTATGCAGGAACTCAGCTACCCTTGCCAGGAACTTTGTCACGGAGTGAACCTTCCCAATTCCCAATTACCTTCAGAGCCATGAGTTCACTTGTCATGTGTTGGTCCAGTTCACATCCCAATTATATAACAGAGCATTTTACCTTCACCGCTACACAATTACACTTGACTGAGAAAAATTCCAGTCTGATATTGGCAGAACTGGCTCTGGTGTGATGGCTATGAGAGTCTCTAATTAAATTAAAATAACCAGACAGGTAACTGGGGGCAATGTCATGTATAACTTTAAAAATCATCAACAGTTTGATCTGCACCACCCGGAGATCAACTGGAAGCCAGTTCAGTTCCCTGAAATGATTAGAACCAATGTGTGTCCTAGGGCTGAGCTTGAGTATAATTCTTATTCATTAGTTTGTTTTGGGCTGTTTGTCCTTCAGATTTTTTGTTATGCCACTAAACCATGAGATACAAGCATAGTCATAGTGGCACTGTATCTGAGATGTTGCCAGGGTCCTCTCTGTATGCAGGAACTCAGCTACCCTTGCCAGGAACTTTGTCACAAAGTGAACCTTCCCAATGACCTTCAGAGCCATGAGTTCACTTGTCATGTGTTGGTCCAGTTCACATCCCAATTATATAACAGAGCATTTTTCCTTCACCGCTACACAATTACACTTGACCGAGAAGTTGGAAGAGTTTCTCTTGCCCAAATGCAGAGACAGTTTGTTGTCGGATAATCACTGCTTAGGGTCTTTTCAACAGTCTCCTTATTCTTATGTGAAACCAAGAGAGCAGAATCATGTAATTTATATAGAGTAAAAAAAGCAAAGGTCCCAAAGTGCTCCCCTGGGGGACACCACCGTTTAACTCCTTAGCATCAAACAGTGTCCTGCCCACATCCACCCTTTGGACCCTATCATTAGGTAAGACTTTACCCATAATAAGGAGTTGGAGTTTGTAAAACAAAATATCATGGTTCACAGTATCAAATGCTTTTTTAGGTCAAGCATCACCATACCACAGAAGTTGCCCTCAGTCAAGTATAGTAAACAAGTGTCGGTAGAATAGGATTGCCTAAAACAGGACTGAAGGTCATAAAAAGTGTTATGGTCATCAATGTACTGTACTTTAGGATTTGTTCATGTAGTGCTCTTTCTAAAACCTTTGACAACATACTCAATATTGACACTGGTTTGTAGTTCCCTTGTTCAACTTTACTTCCTTTCTTGTATAAAGGAACAACTCTTGCATGTTTCAACTCTTGTGGTACCTTTCCATGTTGAATGGAAAGGTTGATGATGTGTGTTACATAAGGTCCAATACAATCAGCAGCATCACTCAGGAATCTAGCTGGGATGTTATCCAGTACTGTGGCTTTCTGTTTGTCATGATCTTTAAGCATCTTTGCAGCATCTGAAGTTGAAACCTGGGAAAATGCTAACTGTCCTTCATAGATGCCCTTGGCGGATTAATAGGTTTGAATTTGATGGTCATTCATTTAAATGATCAAAAACATCTGTAAATATCACCTACTGCCCTTTAAGGGATGTTGATGCTGAGTATCTCTGATTGTTTACTTCCCAAAACCTTCCCTTCTCGTTCCCATACAGGGGACAGGGGTGGGATTAGGTCATCAGTGAAGAAAACGGACATTTGAAAGGGTTGATGAGTTACTCAAACTGGCATGAGGACATTGGTTATATTCTCTTGCACTGAAACCTGCTGGCTATTTGCTTAATCACATTATTGTCTGAATGCCAGATGTTCACTGAATAATGGAGTGGAGGCGCCATCTAGTGCTTAATACACTCATTACAAATCAAACTATTGTACTATGTTGTTGTGTCAATAGACTGTATAAAATAATGTTCCATAATTACAGCATAAATCTGAGAAAGAGTTTCAGAGGGATTATTTTTTTCTTCAATTTTCAATGAAACACAACCATGTGGTAAGACTTAGGTTATAAATGATTTGTTGTCTGTGAGGCTGGGATTGATTAGTCAATAGTGGAATGCTCAACTGTTCATGTCATATGAAGGATAGCACCCTTTGCAGGAAAACTTTCCAAACTCCTTAGACCAGAGAAAAGAGTGACCCCTACTGGCATTCCAACAACAACTCCCATCCATGTTTTGACAAGACTCAGCCCTGCTTAGCTTCAGAGGCAAGTCAGCAGAGGGATGCAGGGTGGTAAGGGTGCCTAGGTCTTTCAATGATGATACCAATACATTAGGAGGTTATCAATACAGTATTAAAAGGTAAGTTCAGGATTTTACAACTTGATGTTAGATGGATGTCAAATAGTTAATCACCCTGAAAGTAGTCCATGAAATTGTAATAAACAGCCACTACACAATTCAGCTAACTTTAGCCACCACTAGCTAACAATCATTGGAAGTGCATATTAAAAGTCCAAAGTAGTAGTAGGCCTACATCAGGGTGCCTACTGGCAGCCAGAGTGCGTTGTCTATAAAACCCAGGTTGGTGATTTACTGCCACCTGCATATGCGTGCGGAGTATGATTAATTGGCTGATTCCTCCTGATGACCTGGATGGAATTCTGTGATTCTTCCTTGACTCATAAAAAGTCCCACCCAATTGACTACTTCAAAATGGTGGAAGTCCTCAATGGCATTGCCCATGCTAAAATAGGCTTTGTGGCATGTGAGCCATCTATCCAATGTTTATCCCAAGTCTGCTACCTTTCCCATTAACTATTTTTTGTTTTTGCTTTCCCACTAACTCTCCATGGGAAGGTAGGGTTAGGGGAAATAATAAAGGAAAATATGGTTAATAAAACATCTCCATGGGAACACTAGGAAGTCATAACACACATGAAAAATAACTCGGAGGTTCACTGGACCATGTAAACCACAAAATAATAAACACTACAAAGAGTGGGAGCAATATAGATAGGAAAAAACTAAATATACAATGTTTTATGATCCCCAAATACATTTTGTCAGCTAATCCTACCTATACCATCCATTTGGTTGTAGATGACTAGCGGGTGAATGCAATTATCTTACAGCTAGTTTTTCATTGTAGCTTTTGGTATTTTCTTGGTAACACCTGCCCCAAATAGATGGTGTGGAGATGTCCAGTAGATGTTCAACAAACTTACAACAACATTTAACTTTTTTATTTTGTTTTATGTATTCTTTATTTACCAGAGTTACATCTCTTTTTCAAGTGAGCCCTTGAACCCTTTTGAAATGGAAGATTTGTTAATGTATGGTAATAAACATCCTAAACATAAACCCGTTTTTCAATTATCTTCACTGTTGGAAGGTAATCACTCAAATCCTCTCACTAAGAGTTGATCAATTATTTCCTCAGACTGTCCATTAGTCTCCTGATTATGCTTTTATCAAACTGTGTTCATAACAATAATTGATTTGACTGAAGCTGGAGGTCTGCCCACTGTTTAACTGCTGGAGATGAGATGAAGTCAATAAGATGTGAAAATGTACATTAATATACCAAAGGGTCCTCTCTTTCATACAATTGTTTAAAACTGGTGTGTGTGCAATCACAGGATACAGTATATACAGTGGGGAGAACAAGAATTTGATACACTGCCGATTTTGCAGGTTTTCCTACTTACAAAGCATGTAGAGGTCTGTCATTTTTATCATAGGTACACTTCAACTGTGAGAGACGGAATCTAAAACAAAAATCCAGAAAATCACATTGTATGATTTTTAAGTAATTAATTTGCATTTTATTGCATGACATAAGTATTTGATCACCTACCAACCAGTAAGAATTCCGGCTCTCACAGACCTGTTAGTTTTTCTTTAAGAAGCCCTCCTATTCTCCACTCATTACCTGTATTAACTGCACCTGTTTGAACTCGTTACCTGTATAAAAGACACCTGTCCACACACTCAATCAAACAGACTCCAACCTCTCCACAATGGCCAAGACCAGAGAGCTGTGTAAGGACATCAGGGATAAAATTGTAGACCTGCACAAGGCTGGGATGGGCTACAGGACAATAGGCAAGCAGCTTGGTGAGAAGGCAACAACTGTTGGCGCAATTATTAGGATATGGAAGAAGTTCAAGATGACGGTCAATCACCCTCGGCCTGGGGCTCCATGCAAGATCTCACCTCGTGGGGCATCAATGATCATGAGGAAGGTGAGGGATCAGCCCAGAACTACACGGCAGGACCTGGTCAATGACCTGAAGAGAGCTGGGACCACAGTCTTAAAGAAAACCATTAGTAACACACTACGCCGTCATGGATTAAAATCCTGCAGCGCACGCAAGGTCCCCCTGCTCAAGCCAGCGCACGTCCAGGCCCGTCTGAAGTTTGCCAATGACCATCTGGATGATCCAGAGGAGGAATGGGAGAAGGTAATGTGGTCTGATGAGACAAAAATAGAGCTTTTTGGTCTGAACTCCACTCGCCGTGTTTGGAGGAAGAAAAAGGATGAGTACAACCCCAAGAACGCCATCCCAACCGTGAAGCATGGAGATGGAAACATAATTCTTTGGGGATGCTTTTCTGCAAAGGGGACAGGATGACTGCACCGTATTGAGGGGAGGATGGATGGGGCCATGTATCGCGAGATCTTGGCCAACAACCTCCTTCCCTCAGTAAGAGCATTGAAGATGGGTCGTGGCTGGGTCTTCCAGCATGACAACGACACGAAACACATAGCCAGGGCAACTAAGGAGTGGCTCCGTAAGAAGCATCTCAAGGTCCTGGAGTGGCCTAGCCAGTCTCCAGACCTGAACCCAATAGAAAATCTTTGGAGGGAGCTGAAAGTCCGTATTGCCCAGCGACAGCCCCGAAACCTGAAGGATCTGGAGAAGGTCTGTATGGAGGAGTGGGCCAAAATCCCTGCTGCCGTGTGTGCAAACCTGGTCAAGACTTACAGGAAACGTATGATCTCTGTAATTGCAAACAAAGGTTTCTGTACCAAATATTAAGTTCTGCTTTTCTGATGTATCAAATACTTATGTCATGCAATAAAATGCAAATTAATTACTTAAAAATCATACAATGTGATTTTCTGGATTTTTGTTTTAGATTCCGTCTCTCACAGTTGAAGTGTACCTATGATAAAAATAACAGACCTCTACATGCTTTGTAAGTAGGAAAACCTGCAAAATCAGCAGTGTATCAAATACATTTACATTTGAGTCATTTAGCAGACGCTCTTATCCAGAGCGACTTACAGGAGCAATTAGGGTTAAGTGCCTTGCTCAAGGGCACATCGACAGATTTTTCACCTAGTTGGCTCGGGGATTAGAACCAGCAACCTTTCGGTTATTGGCACAACGCTCTTACCCACTAAGCTACCTGTCGCCCTTAATACTTGTTCTCCCCACTGTATATAAACATAAATACAAATAAAAACATAAAGAATTGAGGAGTTAGATGGATGTTGGCACAAAACTTGAAGCCGCTCTCTTAGACTTGTATGCCAGAGAGATTTATTTGCGCCCAGGGTAGGGGGCTGCACTGGCCATGTACTGTGTGTGCAATGCGAAGGCTATTTGTTCCCCTTCAGAGTTCAAATTATAATGCAACAAAGTCAAACAATTCTCTAAATAATGATAATTTAACCATTCTCCTATTTGTTTAAAATG